CCGGATAGCCGAACTATCATCATCGGTCGGACTCCAAGACTATGAAGATACAAGATTGAAGACTTTGTCCCGTGTCCGGATGAGACTTTTCTTGGCGTGGAAGGCAAGCTTGGCAATACGGATATATAGATCTCCTACCATTGTAACAGACTCTGTGTAACCCTAGCCCTCTCCGGTGCCTATATAAACCGGAGGGTTTAGTCCATAGGACGAACAACAATCATACCATAGGCTAGCTTCTAGGGTTTAGCCTCCTTGATCTCGTGGTAGATCCACTCTTGTACTACCCATATCATCAATATCAATCAAGCAGGAGTAGGGTTTTACCTCCATCGAGAGAGCCCGAACCTGGGTAAAAACATCGTGTCCCTTGTCTCTTATTACCATCCGCCTAGACGCACAGTTCGGGACCCCTACCCGAGATCCGCCGGTTTTGACACCGACAATGGTCCTATCAAGCAAAAACATATCATCTATCCGCCGGTTACACCATTCTGCATAATGAACTGGACCCATCCTTTGCCTCCCATACAAGTCCTTGTCGGTCCTTTCTGCAGCTCAATGTTGTAAGTGACCCTAAGACACACTCCAACCTAGTGTTGCATGGGACAATCTATGCAACAAATGCAAAAGAAACATACACTAGATAAATTGTAAAAGCACTAAAATAAACACAAATTGCTACAAGTTTATGGAGAAGAATATATATAGTTTGTTACCACTCAACTTGCAACCAGGTTCCAAGTTTATGGAGCCGTCAAATGCAATCGGTCGTGCCACATGCCACCTCTTTGCCGGGTGCCGTGGGGGGAATCTCGGCATACACTTCATAAGCCGAGTTGTTTCATGTTCGCCGGGTACATCCAGACGGGGGTATGGTAACGTCTAGCATGTGCCATGTCTTGCTGTTTTCCGAGAGTCGTACTCGGCTAGCTTACATAGGTTTTGCCGTGATCCCGTGTTTCGGTACTCGGCAAACATGAAATAACTCGGTAACAACGATTATTTCAGTAGTCCTTGCGTGGTATTTAGACGGGAGGAATAATTTATTTCCCTCAACGTGCATTTGATCTGTTATAGTATTATCCTCATTGTGGGCATTCCCAGATCGTTTTCCTCTCGTCCTTGTTTTCCTCTCGTCCGTGGCGGCTCGAACCCTAGTCGCTGCCAGGGGTAGGCCGATCTTCCAACGCCGCTCTCCGGCGGCTCCCCTCCACCGGCGACCTCGGTCGTCGGTGGTGAGGGGGGTCGCCGGATCCACGTGTGTGGATTGTTTTACTCTCTCATAGTTTAGGTTTTTAGGTTGTTCAACGTCTTTGCTTCGGCAGCGACGATGACAACGCTGAATAAAGATTCTTTGGATCCTTCCCTCACGAGACCATCGGTCCTATGGTTGGGGATGGATTTGGAAACCAGTCCGTTCAAGCAAGGATGTCGTGGTGGCGGCGGCATCCTCGTGATGGACTTGTGTCCTCGGGCTCCGCCGTTGCGACGGCGTTTGCTCCAACGTCGGCGCGGAGCTTGGGAGGTAGTCCAGGAGCGGTTGCAGATTGTGGTCTGCATCGACGACATATAGAAGACGGAGCATGTGCTGGGCTCGTGGTTGGTGGATGGCAGATATGGTTTCCTCCTTCGGCGTTTTAGTCGTGGTGGGTTGCCAGATTTGGAGTTCGATGGCGTGTCCGGGGTGTTGCCCCGGTCTGATTCGTTCAACGGTAAGGGTTTCACTTTTGGTGAGCCACCTTGAAGGTCCGTAAAGCTGCATATCAGCGATGGAGCCGCGTCGAGCTCGGGTCAGGAGGTGCTTCGTCATTCTTTTCTTCGGTGGCTGCTGTGGTGGTGCCGGAGGCAGGTGACGGGCGTTGGTGTCAAGCTCAGAGATGTTCTGTTATGTTTTCAGTTTTATCATGTCGGTCTTTACGTGACTTGTACTTTGTTCTTTATGATATGAATGGGACACGTATTACCATGCAAAAAAAAAGTATTATCCTCATTAAACTACGCTATGTGAAGACAGTGATATTTGTTAAAGAACCGGTGCTGATAGGTTGTCAAGATTTTTATTTTGTAGCCGTGACAGTTGGTTTGGTGTAGCAGATAAAGCTCGCAAATGTTCATTTGAAGTTAAACAGTGTATTCAGATTGCAGATTTCATGTGTTAATATCTCCATGCACGAGTTGCAGCCAGAACCATAAATACAGGGCGGGTCAAACCAAACCAAAACAAAAAACAAAAACTGGCAGCCAGATACACCGGGCGACCGACGGACCTACGGAGCTCGGAGCAGAGGCAGAGACCACCCCTTGCGTCGGATTCCCTGGCCGGGCGGCGCCGCCGCCGACAACGCTCGTCGACACCGATCTAGCCAAGGTACGTCTTCGCTCCCGGCCGGCCCTCCACGATGAATCAATCTATGCATCTCTGAATCTGAATGGACGACCTGAATTCGTGTGTTCGTCTCGATTTGTTTGGTACTCTGACGAAACACGCATACAACAAGTCAACTGAATGAATGTTGCGCCTAGCTTGTTCTTGGTTCTGGACGATGATGATCCTAGCTAGCTATTGCACATTGCAGTACGTATTTGTAGGTTTGTTCATCGACCGGACCGGTGAGTGTGATGCCCCCAAATTCATTACCGCCGGAGCCGGACGGGACGGTTACTAGTGATAGCGGGCCTACGCCCTACGAGTTAATCATGCACGCCGGGGCGTACTTTATCATCTCTGTCCATATGCGTGCATGCACACACGTAGTACGTCACTCGGCCAGCAAACCAGCTGGCAGTGGCACGTCCCTTAACATCACACGTCAGAAACGTGGCACTCCAGCCTTATATTTTTTGACGGCAATTCCAGACACACGAGGATGGCAAACTCCAATGACACAAGGCAAGTTTCTATCAAAAATAAACTGAAGCACGAAAGTTGTCATGCTTGTCAATTAAAGTTGTCTTCCTCATGTAACTAAACTTGTCATCAAAAGCGTTCGATGTTGTCATGTGCTGTCGCACTTATCAGCGCCCTCTGCTATAGCATGGCAGCAGACGTATGCACACTTACACCTTGCATTGACGTACACCGCAGCGTCAGCTCAGAAAATGTGTGTATCATGTGGTCGTACCAAACTTGTACCCTCAACTCCAAGTCCAAATCGAACCCTGAACTCAAAATCCATGAAACTAGCACCCCGTCCCTTTCCTAATCCGGGTCTATACCGACACTTTTTCCACTAAACCCTTGTTTGGTGGTGGGGTTTATGGGCCGACACGATAGAGCCCGTAGTCGGACTAGCTAGAGTGATTTGCCATTCCTCGTTGCAACGTGAGACATCTTCCATCCACAAATGAGTGTCTAGCGAAAAAGGACCGGGATAGATAAGGATTAGAGAGAATAGGATGTTAATTCTGAGATTTAGAGGTTGGTGTTTGACTTGGACATTAAGAGTATTAATAAAAGGTTTATTTTAGACATTTCTCTTTTTTAATCATTGGACAACTGAAAATTGTCGAAGAGTTAGTCAATTTCTTTAGGGAGAAGAGCACCACCTTAAATGCGAGACTACTCGGGTCAGGTGTGCGGGATCGTCGCTGACCCTATAGAATAGGGGGAAGCGGGACTGGTGAAGAAGATGAACATGAACATGGGGGTTGAGACTTGGGAGATTGAAGAAGTTAGGCAGCTATTGGATGCATATCCAACGGCCCACACAACATCAACTAAAAACGTTTCTTTTTTATTTCCGGCTGTTGAATAGGCGCTCCTTTTCTTAGGAACAACAAACATTCTTTTAAACTGAGAAGCAACAACATTTTGGACTCGAAAATGTGGAAATTCACAGGGGAACGCACCTGCCCAGGCCTTGGGCGGCACCTCGATTGCCTCACAATTCGCGAAGTAGTTGAATTCCGCACGAGGGCACATTAAATTTTAAGTTTCAGTCACTGAAACCTATGACTTTTTATCTAAAACTCACGATTTTCTCGCTCGCTCTTACCAAGTTTCGTAGATAAATTTTGAAAACATTTTTTGTCGTTTGTAGACACAAAAATCATGATTTTATCGGTCGCTCGTACTACGTTTCAAGAGCTAAAACTTAACATCTATTTTAAAGATTTGTCAAAACATATTTAAAATAAAGCTTATTTGAAAGCCCTCGTCACAAGAAACACGTATATGAAAACATATCTTAATTTGGATTGTTCATCTAAAAGATACAAATATTTTAAAAATTAGAAGCCAGAAATAAAAGCACGCGGGGACTTGCGTGTCCCGCCCCAAATCCGCTCTCTTAGAAAATTAAGGTGTTTAGTTGGTCATGCCGTGGTCACAGTATCCTCAATACTATAAAATACTTTGATATGACAAAACTGTGGTATCTAGTACCTTTAGGCTAAAATACTATAATTTTTCAATAGTGTAGTTTTTGCAATACTTTGCCGCCAAACACAATCTTAGTTGGTGAAACAACCACCATATGTCCGTGAAACAAAAATGCTACATTCATGGGCCTTTACGGGGCTAAAACAGGACCCCCTACTTTCAGGCGGTGGGCCCCTTCCCGCCCCTAAATCCAATCCTAATCCTTCACGTTTGCTACTCCATGAAGTCTATAAAAAAACCTCCCCGTGAGTCTAGCATTGCTCTCCCTGAAAATAGCATCCACCGCATTTCACCTGCTAATCTGAGCATGGGAAGGTTCTCATGTGCCGGCTCACTCTGATGAGTACGACTAAACGACGTGGTCATGAAAGGGCATATTTCACCTTATGAGATAGGCATTACCATTACCTCGTTGAGAAAACCGAGTGCCACTGCCAACAGCTAGGGCATGCCAATAATAGGAAGGCGCAAGTATAGTGGAGTTGTCTGAAATGCTCGTGTGCCATGTGACTTGAACCTCCATTTCTTCAGCTGGATATATACTTGTCTTGGTGGTTAGCTCCTCATCACTTGGTGACCTCCATTGCTATAACAGGACTTGCTCGTCTGAGTAGCCATGGGGGAGGTTGGTGCTGCAGACATGATCTACACCCAGGATGGCACCGTGGACTTCAAGGGCAACCCGGCCCTCAAGAAGAGCACCGGCAACTGGCGCGCCTGCCCCTACATCCTCGGTACGCACATACACACGACACCATTCTTCGTGTTGTTCTTGCTGGTGTTCGTGGCGTCAAGGTGTTTGATCGGTTGCATGCAGCGAACGAGTGCTGCGAGCGGCTGGCCTACTACGGCATGAGCACCAACCTCGTCAACTTCATGACGGACGAAATGGGCATGACCTACACCGCCGCCGCCAACAGCGTCACCAACTGGGGCGGCACCTGCTACGCCACCACCCTCATCGGCGCCTTCCTCGCCGACGCCTACCTCGGCCGCTTCCGGACCATCGCCTCCTTCGTCATCATCTACATCATCGTAAGACCATCGATCGGCCGTCGTGTTCTCTTCTTCTTTGATTTCTTTCTTTGTGACCACGGATGATTTTAGGGGCTGGGGCTTCTGACGATGGCGGCGTCCGTGAAAGGGCTGGTGCCGACGTGCGCGGCGAAGGGAGTGCGCGACCCGATGGCGGGGCAGACGGCGGCGGTCTTCGTGGGTCTGTACCTGGTCGCGCTTGGCACGGGCGGGATCAAGCCCTGCGTGTCCTCATTCGGGGCGGACCAGTTCGACGAGCACGACGACGGCGAGCGCCGGAGCAAGAGCTCCTTCTTCAACTGGTTCTACTTCTCCATCAACATCGGCGCGCTGGTGGCATCGTCGGTGCTGGTGTACGTGCAGGAACGCTTCGGCTGGGGCTGGGGCTTCGGCATCCCCGCGGTCGTCATGCTCATCGCCGTCGGCAGCTTCTTCGTTGGCACGCCGCTCTACCGCCACCAGCGCGCCCGCGGCAGCCCGCTCACCCGCATAGCGCAGGTGCTCGTCGCGGCCACGCGCAAGTGGAGCGTCGCGGTCCCCGTCGACGTCTCGGCGCTGTACGAGAGGCCGGACAGGGAGCACGGCAAGATGGAGCACACCGAGAAGTTCAGGTTCCTCGACAAGGCGGCAGTGGAGACGCCGGCGGACAGGGCGGCAAGCGAGTCATCCGCGTGGCGGCTGTGCACGGTGACTCAGGTGGAGGAACTCAAGAGCGTGATCCGGCTGCTGCCCGTCTGGGCGAGCGGCATCGTGTTCGCGACGGTGTACGGGCAGTCGACCACCATGTTCGTGCTGCAGGGCAACACCCTGGAAGCCTCCATGGGGCCGCACTTCTCCATCCCCTCCGCCTCGCTCACCATCTTCGACACCCTCAGCGTCATCGCCTGGGTGCCCGTCTACGACCGCCTCCTCGTCCCGGCCGTCCGCTCCGTCACCGGTCACCCGCGCGGCTTCACCCAGCTCCAGCGAATGGGCATCGGCCTCGTCGTCTCCATGTTCTCCATGGTCGCCGCCGGTGTACTCGAGCTCGTCCGCCTCCGCGTCATCGCTCGGCACGGGCTGTACGGGGAGCACGACGTAGTGCCCATCTCCATCTTCTGGCAGGTGCCGCAGTACTTCATCGTCGGCGCTGCCGAGGTGTTCGTTTTCGTGGGGCAGCTCGAGTTCTTCTACGACCAGGCCCCCGACGCCATGAAGAGCATGTGCACGGCGCTGTCGCTGACAACGGTGGCGCTCGGGAACTACGTGAGCACGCTGCTGGTGACGGTGGTGGCCAAGGTGACGACGAGGGGCGGCAAGGAAGGGTGGATCCCGGCCAAGAACCTCAACGTCGGCCGCCTCGACTATTTCTTCTGGCTGATGACCGTGCTCAGCGTCGTTAACTTTGCTATCTATCTGCCCATCGCCAACTGGTACACCTACAAGAAGAGCGCCAATGAAGGAGATGAGTGATCGACATGAATGTGCGTGTTCAGAATCAGGAGACAGAACAGATTGCTGGAAACAAGAATCGGTATTACAGAGCATTAGGAGAGAAAATGGTACCAGTGACAATTAATATGAATCGGAGGGGCATCATTTGTTTATTTAAATGATGTTTGTTGACTCTATTCTTTTTGGCTATTTTTTTAAAATAATACATATTTTTTATTAAATTTCAGAAATATTACACCGTAATTATATTTTTCAAAAATAATACCCAGTCAGCCAACTGCTGGCCGATTGGATCCAGTCGGCCTGCTGCTGGCCGATTGGACCCCAGTCGGCCCACTATAGGCCGATTGGATCCAGTCGGCCTGCTGCTGGCCGATAGGCCCCAGTCGGCCCACTGCTGACCGATTGGCGCCCAGTCTGCTTCCTCTAGGCCGACAGATGCATACACCCATTTATCTTTGAAATGAATATTTGAAAAATGTTGAAGAAGTATTTAAAAAAATGTTGATCATGCATATAAAAATGTTAATCAAGCATTTGAAAAAACAATATTTAACAAGTATTTGAAAAATATTGAAACAATATTTGAAACTGTTGAATAGGTATTTGAAAAATGTTGAAGAAGTATTTTAAAAAATGATGATCATGTATAAAAAAAATGTTAATCTAACATTTGCAAAAAATATTAAACTATTATTTGAAAAAAGGCGAAACAAGTATTTGAAAAAATATTGATCACGTATATAAAAATGTTGAAAAAGTATTTGTAAAAATGTTGATCATGTATAAAAAAATGTTAATCTAGCATTGCGAAAAATTTAAACAATTATTTGAAAAAAAGGCTAAACAAGTATTTGAAAAAAATATTGATCATGTATATAAAAATGTTGAAAAAGTATTTGTAAAAATGTTGATCATGTATATAAAAATGTTGATCAATATAAAAATATTGGTCATGTATATTATACACATGTTAAACATTTTTCAAATACTTTTCAATTTTTTAAAATACTTGTTTAACATTTTCTCAAATACTTGTTCAACATTTTTATATACATGATCAACATTTTTTAAAATACTTCTTTAACATTTTTATATACATGATCAACATTTTTCTAAATACTTGTTTAACATTTTTATATACATGATCAATTTTTTTAAATACTTCTTTAACATTTTTCAAATACCTATTCAACAGTTTTTAAATATTTTTTCAACATTTTTCAAATACTTGTTCAACATTTTTTTCAAATGCTTGACTAACATTTTTATATGCATGATCAACATTTTTTTAAATACTTCTTCAACATTTTTCAAATACTCATTCCAAAGATAAATGAGTGCATGCACCGGTCGGCCTAGAGGAAGCAAACTGGGCGCCAATCGGCCAGCAGTGGGCCGACTGGGGCCTATCGGCCAGCAGTGGGCCGGCTTGATCCAGTCGGCCCGTCCAATCGGCCAGCAGCAGGCTGACTGGATCCAATCGGCCAACAGTAGGCCGACTGAGTATTATTTTTGAAAAATATAATTGCGGCGTAATATTTCTGAAATTTAATAAAAAATATGTATTATTTTAAAAAATAGCTTCTTTTTGAAAGATTTAGCAGGAAAATGTGTTGAAATGTCATGTTTAGTTTGGTATTGAAATGAGAGTTGAAAAACACCACGACAGGTTTATTCTCGTCACCCAAACATGGCCGGTGACAAAGGGCTTCTTAACAGGTCTCAGATATTAACAGGTTCAACAGACTTAAGTCTACCCTCCAACCCGCTCGCATAAAAAAAATGCCTACCCTCCGACAAATCCTTTTTTTTACTACCACCAATCTTACTACAAACCACTGGCCCACCTGCACAGCTCACAATCGATACACCCACGCCAGTTGCCACCCATGATCTATTTCTTCCAACACACACCGCCGCCAGCAACGAGCATCAGTTTACAACTTCACATGCACGGCCGGTCCTAAGATTTTGGGGGCCCGAGGCGAGAATTAAACTCGGACGCCTAAGAGAGACATCATAACAGTAACAATCAATATACACACATATGAAATATCATCTATAACAATGCAGCACCCAAAACCAAAATGCATATCAAATAATTTTATAATTATTACCTTGAAAATTTCATCTAACATTCCTCCACGCAAAGTCACTTATGATATGGTTGATGTTAATCTCATCCAATAATTTCCTCTCGATGCAATAATGTTATCAAACCATTTAACCTCTCTCGTGTCATTGTTGACCTCAGATAGTTCAATAATTTCAACACTGAAACACTTCTCTTGGCCACTATGATAGTCACAAGCACAGTAAATGAGATATGATAAGCAATGGAGATATTAGGAAAATAATCAACTTTTGTCGACATGCTCGAAAATCTCCATAGCAAAGATTACCGTGTATCTCATAATCTTCAATTCAGAAATAAGATCATATACCTGAACATCACATGAACCATCGAGAGAGAAAGTTTCTGCAAATTTTGTGCTACGCTCTTAAAGTTTATTATCATTCAGTGACTTCCGATTGCCTAAGCTCAATAAAAATCCGAATATATCTCTAGATAGCGTCATTTTATGTATCTTTGAAAGAAGTGAATCGCCATTTCAACCCAAGAAAAAACTATTTAACTTGGAAGGTCTTCTCATCGTCTAGAATTTCTTGTTGGCAATCACTTTCATCAAATTGTTTCATCCTCGTAGCACGACGTTTTACTAAAAACAATGGCTCTATACTCATTTGAGTTGTAAATACCATTGGCAATTATCAAACTAGCAGAAAACTCCTCATCTTTGTACTTCTCAAAATATTTGTTGTACCTTGTATTTTCTTCCTATTCCTTTTGTCGCTACCAGATGCATATTGTTTTCCGGAGGACAAGATAAGACACAATGCTAAAACAAATTGCATTAATTGTTGAACAGTGCCGCCATGCAGGCTATGAACCCAGGGTATCACAATATGATTATATGAATATATGATATACCTCGGACGGTCGAATAGAATCGGTGATGGACGGAAAGCAAAGCAGGTATACGACGGGGGTCCAGAGAATTGAAATCGGCGGCGAGCGGCTGACGATCAGAAGTAGGACGGAAATTAGAATCCAAAAGAAAGGGAAAAGGAACATCGACACGCAGTCACGATGAGAGGAAGCGTCGGCAGCATGGGAGTCGCTGCGTCAACGCAAGATGGAATAGGAAGGAATCAAAATCACTCTTTTCTTTTTACTAGTAGAATGCTTGTGCGTTGCTATGGGACTATTCTTTTCTCTGATTGCATTGGGGCCCTTTTTGATGGATTTTTAACCCCTTCGACTAACATCGCCTTGGGACCCTTGTTGATGGACCCCTTAGTTAAGCTTCTTCCGTTTTATTGTGCTACACACATTGACTTACGTGACTTTGTAAAAATTAATTACAACACATGGACAAATGTTGTACCAGACATATATTAATTATCATAGGTGATGCATGCATCTCCTAATTATCAAAGGTTCCAATAATCAGCATGGACGGATGCCATACATCAGCGCATTGCAATGCTGATTTAGCACTTGAACAAGACATGTTGTTACTACTTTTTAGTTCTTTAAACAATTCTTCGAAGGACAACTCCACCCTCTAATCAAGACATGGTGAAGGAGGTATCACCCTCGAAGACCACGACCGATTAGCTACACTATAGAGTCAACATCTGAAGTGCTATACGAGGTATCACCCTCGACACTAGATAGTAGCTCTGCATATTAGTCCAGCTAAGGGGGGTGATGTGATGTGTCGGGCTCTGGACGCCGATCACGTTGATGGAGTCATTGGTTATCAAGCGGGGGCAATTGGGACAAGGTGAGGGGTCACTAGTGGATCACTAACCAACCTGTATTAAGCAGTTTAGGATAAGCAGGTAAGGTAACAATTGCAGGTTACAAAATTAGGCTATGCATCAGAATAGGTACAAGCGAACAACAGTAGCAAAATGTAATGCAAGCATGAGAGAGAAGAAACTGGGCGATATAGGAATGATCAAGGGGGGTTTGCTTGCCTGGAAGCTCTGCGGCAAGTGGCTGGAAGTCAGAGGTGTAGTCGTACCCGGCAGCAGCGTCGGTCTTGGTGTCTACCAGAGAGAAGAGGGGGAAGAAACAATGAATATAAAGCAATCAAGTGCAACACTATGCATGACACGACAATATGCAAGGCTAGTGGTGTTCTAACGTGGTACTACACGTCGCAGACGAAGAGGGAAAACATCCGAAGGTGTTTCCCCAACGTTAGGCAATTTCCAGACAGATGAAAGAGAGGAGACACTTCCGTGTTTGCAGTGTTAGAGGCATGTGACAGCTACATGTAGGGCACCAACAAATTCGTCTCATTTTTTGAATGTTTTTCATATATAAATTATTTCGCTCCGAGTAACGGTTTGTTTTTCTATTAATTTTCAAAGTTTATTTGAATTTTTGGAATATATTTAAAATGAAATATGCACAGTAAATACTTTTGTCACATATCAGTGGGGTAGCCACTGAGGCTGACAGTGAGCCAAGGCTGCCTAGTCAACAATGCAGTCAGCATTGACTAGGTCAACGTTTGACCTGTCAAACTAGCAGGTGGGGAACACCTGTCAGTCACACATTTTTAAACAGGGTTAATTACTCATTTAAATAGCTTTAGTTAGCAGATAGGCCCACCTATCATAGGTACATATTTAATTAAAACTTTAGTTAAGTTAATTGACTAGAAGGGGGTCCCACCAGTCAGTGTCACAGGTTATTTAGACTAATTGGCTTAGTTTAATTAGTCAAAGGTTGCCCTTCAGTCTGTGTTGCTAGCGCCGGTCAGGAGGGGCGGCAGGCCCAGCGGAGCGGTGGCGGTTCTCGGGCATGGGCGCGCCAGGAGGACGAGATCGAATAGGGGCGTTCCTCCTCTGCACGTCTGCGTGTGTGTTTGTCGTGTGTGCCGTCGGATGAGGAAACGAGGGAGAGATTTTTTTCAAGAATCAGGAAACGAGGGAGAGATGGGGCAGATGGTTGGGTGCGGGCTAGGTAGGGTTAGAGGGATTAGGTGGGCCTTGGCCCAACTGGTCTGGTTGCTGGGCTCCCTCTCTCCTTCTTACTTCTAT